AGAGGGGCATCGTCCAACCCGTAGACGTTCACCAGCAATCTGATGAGAGACCCCTTTTCAACCTTGATGCCCTCGCATGGTTCCACGTAGATCTCTCCCTGAGCACGGCTCATAGGATCCGATTGGCAGAAGGCATTCTTCACGTCCGCAATGCCCCCTAGGTGGCCTAGATTCATCATCACCTGGATGACCATAAGTATGGAAGAAGTCTGGGGGGTGGGAGAGTAGACGAATAGCGTCCCGGTATCCGGATCCTTGTGTCCGTGGACGCACCACCGAGACTTGGCGGTTGGTTCAGAAAACGTGCCCTCCACAAGTTTCCACCGTCGAACCATCCGACTCGTGATGATGCGGTCCGGTCGCTCTCGCCTAATCACCCCCGCCTCCCTAGGTGCTATGATCTCCACAGCACCCGAGTTGGCCATATTTTGCCACTCGGTGTCGTCTGACACTTCAAACTTGCTGCGCTCGGCGGGCGTCAGTCGGTTGAGGCTAACCTCTCCTCCGCGGCTGGCCGCCAGGACCTCAAGATCGGCTCCGCGCTTCTCCTCAACCAAGAATACGCCCGCCTCCATGGTTTCGACCGCGAATGACACCCAGCCTTCCGGTCGGACCCTCGACTCGATTTCCTGAACTCTACGCCCCACAAAGCCTGGCCCCCCGTCCTCGCCTCTTTCCTCGGCGTCGGCAGCGGCAGCACTGGCACTCGGCCCTTCGCTCACCTGGGGAGAACTGCTGGAAAGCCCCAGTCCTGGAGGTGGCTCTATCCTGGCACGCTTGACTTCGACAATCTCGGGAGGACAGCTCGCCGCTCGAGTCTCAGCATGACGCTGACGAATACAAACTGGCACGTCACTGGGCTGAGGCAGTCTAGATTTCCCTGGCCTGCTGGCTCCACCAGAGGCATCCTCGTTGACTGTGGGAGCGGGCACAGGGTTAGAAGGAAGGAGAGGAGGAGGAGAGGAAGAGATAGGGGGAGCATGGTCGACGGTGTCCTCGTCCTCTGGAGTGTCTTGCCTCGTGGGTGGCCCGCCCTCTCCCTGACCGTCTCCCTCGGAGATGGACGGGAGTCGAGTTCGTTCGGATCCGGCTCGGGCGACCGCAGAACCCCCGGCCGATGACGGGCGGGATCCGACCCCCCTTGGAGGCCCGGGCCCGATCGGATCGAACCCGCGGTGAACCAGAGCAGGCCCTGGGGGTCTCGCACTCGGAACCTCTCGAGGCGCATCCGGCCGTGGTTCTGGCTCGGGTCCCGGGGGCACCTGAGGCGCCGAGTCCACCTCTGGAGACAGCGGCTGGTCCCACGCTTCGTCGGGGGGCGGACCTTCTCGCTGGACGTCCACCGCCGTCGCTCTCCTGGCCTGGGCCTGGGAGAGAAGCTCGGACCACCGGGGATCCTGGGCAACCTGGATGCCGTATTCCTCCTCGGCACTGGCCAGATGAACCTGCTCTGGAGAGCATTCCCAGATACGCGCCCGCACCGCGACCCAGACGGTGCCACGCTCGCACAAGACCACGACCCCGGGGCCCGTCCACGCGTCCCGCCTGCGACCTAGGGCGTCGGCCCTCGGACCCGCTTTGGTCAGGCGTCGCCAGACGAAAACCCACTGGCCTGGACGGAACATCGCCTGGTCCTGGCTGGGTCCCCTCGCCTTGGTGGCTTTGGCCACCTTGTCCCGGGCGGTAATCTCCAGAGCCAGGCGACGCGCCAACTCCCTAACACGCTGCGACCTGGCAAACTCAGCGCCCGCGGAGTCGAGCTCCGAGGCCGGTCGCATAGAGTCCTGCCAGCCAGGAAGGCCCATGTGATCATCCGACAGCATTTCGCGTGGCATCCGGGGGTTCTCGCCAAAAACGGGCTGGACCGGAGAAAACCCGCCCCGGTGCCAGAAGCGGTTTTTGTGGGCACACAGCTCGTAGACAAGCTCCTCGAGCTCCCCCACGTCCCCGGGAATGGCAGAACCGGCTTCCACCTCTCCTTTGATCCTGTCTTTGATCCAGCCTCCGTGCCTCTCGACGCGTCCGCTCTGCCACGGGGAGCTTGCATCGCACACGTGGTGGAGAACCCCCACTGCTCGAGCCCTCGGGCAAACCGACCCTCGAACTCGGAGCCCCCGTCCGACAAAACGGAATGAGGAGCTCCGAACGGACGGATCCACGCTCTCACGAAAGCCCCCCAAACCTGAGCCGCTGTGGGCTCCTCCACCCGCACACAGACCTGCAGGTTGGACCCGTGGTCCACAACATTCAAAAACGCCAGGGTCCTCTCCTGGAACGGAACAAAGAAAAGATCGACACCCACTATGTGGTTGAACCTGAACGCCCTGGGAAGTGCCACCCTGCGGTGGCTGCTGGTGCGAGCTCGCTCAGCACACTCCGAGCACTTAAACATGTCTCTGATCCAGCGAAGCAGGTGTATCTTCACGCCTCCGGCCCTGAGGACTCGCACAAACTTCCGGTTGCATGGGTGGCCCATATTCACGTGTAAACGGAACAGCAGACGCTTTTCTTCTTCTGTCGGCTCGGGAGGGGGTTCCTTTGGTCCGGAGGCTCCCGGGCCCCGCGTCTCTTGTTCTTCCGCCTCGCTTCCGCTTGCTTCCTCGGGACCTTCCAGATCTTCGAGGGAGGGATCCGCGCCCTCTGGAAAGTGGCTCTCGCTAAGCTCTGCCCACGTGGGAGACCTTGATCTGCTGACGCCGCTCCACTGCTCGGTCACGGCACGAGCCACGGCTTCAGCAAACGCGGGCGGATACTCCTGGGCCTGGGAAGTCCTGCTACTCCCCTCCAGGAGCACATGCTGGTGGTCCCCGGAACACAGCCTACCGTCCATGATCTCTCAGAGCCTAGGGTGGTTGGTGAGCAGTCCGGTGGGCTTCTTGTTGAGGCCATCCTTAGTGACTCGGAGCCCGAACATACACATATAGATCCGACCCGGCGAACGCCTGGAAGCTGAGCGACCAGCTGTACTACCTTAGTCGCCCAAGAACTCGCAAACAGAGGGTGTTCAAACGCGAAGCACCGCCCTCGCTCCGACTGGTACAGGGCTATGCGCATGCAAAAGATTAAATCATTGACCCCGTCGGTTACGGCTTGCTTCCATGTAAACGGGTCTCGGACGGCCCTGCTGATGCGACTGATAGCCGAGAAAACCCTGCAGGGCGGGCACAGCCAGATCATGTCTGGCTTCTCTTTTTCTATGGCCGCCCAGAGATCTAACTGGTCGTTCGCTCTCCTAGAATCCCACCCGGTCCTCAGATCCCAACTAGGCTTGGCCCCTAGAGTTCCCCCACGGCGCTGCACTCTGGGCGCGATCCTAGGAGGCGAGAACACTTCCATAAAGCTGATTCCCCTGTTCCTCGAGACGAACAGCTCCGTAGTTGGGTCCTCCTGGGACCCGTCCGGCCTAGCCCTGAGTTCGAGAGCTCGCCGGACTTGCTTGGGCAGCGCGACCTCGTGGCCGTCGTTAAAATTATCCCCGTCCTGCCACTCGATTCCTTCGAAATCGCTTTTCCAGCTGTGTCCCTCCACTGACGACTGAGGTCCAACGACCGAGGCAAACACAGGAAACGTCGGAATCGAGCGACCATCTCTGACTTGGACGGAGGCTGGAGATAATGATGATGCCTTTCGCGCTGCACAACTGCAGCCGACAGAGGCAGCTCGGCCACACTGAGTGGCAGCAGCCCGAATCATGTATGAGCCCGCTAGATCACTGGCCCGGGATCGCTCCCGAGCACCTCCCATGAGTCGAGGCTCGCCTCTGGGATCGTCGGCAACGGGGGACGCGTAAGTGTCGCAGTCGCTGCTCCCGACATGGTCGGTGTTGTAGTGGTCCTCGTCCCGTACGGGTCGGTAACCGTCCAGGGGCCCCCGTCTGCCACTGTCACCTCGTCGTCGATCGGTGGCGGGTAGGACGGCGGAGGAGGGCTGGCTGCCCCGGACGAGGATGCCACCGCCGAGCCGGCCGCGCCGATGGCCGCTGTCGGGGCCTGGTGAAAGGGAGCTGCTGCCATCGCTGCAGCAGCTGCCTGCTGAGGAACGCGCCACTGGTCCTCGACCTGCTGCCCCCCGTTGGCCACGTGCGCTATGGCCGCCACTGCCGTGCCCACGTTCACGAGCATGAACCCGATCTGGCCGATCGCTGTCTCCATCCCGGAGAGGGTGCCCGCGATGGCATTGACCGACTCCTGGAGCGTGTCGATGGCTATCGCGAAGTCCGCCATCCCGGTGAGCTGCGTCTTGATGGCGGTGATGCCCTGGAAGATCTGCTGGAGCCCTTCCTCCATCTGCGTGGGAAACTGCTGCGTCTGCGTCGCGACCTGGATCATCTGGTCCACCACCGACTGTACCTGGCCCAGCGCTCGAACTCCTTCTGGAATCGCCTGGAGCTGCCACTGGAGACCCTGGAGCGAACCGTACAGCTGATTCACCGTCGTCAGCGCTGCGCCACCTGCCTTGAACTGCGGGTCGCTGGTCAGGAGGTCCACCGCCCTCTGAGCGGATGACGCCGCTGCCCGCGCGGCCTCGGCCGCCGTTGGCACTGCCGGGGCACCTCCTTGACCAGCGCGGCCTCCGGGAATCCATGCAATGCGCGCTCCGCAGAGAGCGCACCTCGATCCCGAGCCGCGCTGGTTCCCGCAGTACTTGATCGCCGAGGCTGGATGACTGCAGCGGGGTGATGCCTTGGGGGGGGGCTTCCCCGCAGCTGGCCCGAACAGCACCCCTGGTGTCGGCGCCTTCGCTCCTCCTCCAACTGCCGCGGCAGCCGCCGCCCCCTCCGCTGCTGCGGCCGCCGGAGGCGGTCCTGATGGCAGAGGTGGCTGGACGCGGTGCTCGACACCCGCCTGGGCTAGGGCATACAGCGCCTGGTGCATCGTCGGCTGGATGGCCCCCTCGATCGGTGGAGCTGGGGGCCACTGAGACGCCGCTGCTGCCGCCCCCCACAGCACTGGCTGCGGCTTCGATGCGGGTTGGTGCTGCTGAAGGTGCGGAGGAGGCGCCTTCACCACCAGGGGGCTCGCCGCGGCCTGAGCGGGTCCGAGGCTCGGCGGTGTCGGCAGCCCTTGCAACGCCGCGAGCGCCTGGTGCTGCTGGTCGCCCGAGGCGCTGCTGACTCCGCGCGACTGCTGGGGCATGGGCACGTCGCTGCCCGCCGCCGCCGTCGCCTCGCTGTGTGCCGCCGAGCCGGCTGCTCCGGCTGAGGGCTCGAACACCTCCGAGGACACCTCGGAGTCCTCCTCTCTTTCGGCGTGGCGCTGCGCCAGCAACTCCTCGGTAAGCTGCTTGGCAATAGGCTCCTTCTTCTTGCCTCCGACGGCGGGGTGTACGCCGAGAGCCAGCACCATCGCTACACGAAACATGAACATGGAGTGAATCACCCAGGATGTGACTCCGAAGGCGATCGAGATTGGAAGCTTGGAACCGCCGAAACGAGTTTGAGCCCAAACTGGCCACGGAAATCACCAGGACAATCTGAACCCACATGGTTATCGCCGAGAAACCGAGAGCCCCGAGGTCGTAAATGGCCCTACCCGCTGATATGAGGTCGAGGGCTCTGGTCGTCTCACTGGCCTGGCTCTGGTGGCACTCCTCATCCTTAGCTTCTCCGCGGGATCCCGAGGCCCGGACCGTCGCTAGGCTGCTCCACTGAGCTCGCGGCTGGTGCTGGTCGCTAAACTCGAGCTCGATCGATAAGTGCTGTCCCCGGGCTCGGCCCCGGCGCACGGTACTGCACTCGATTTGATTGAAGCTGAGGGGAAGGAGGTAGAGGACAACCCTGTAAGCGCTCACCTCTCCGCTGGCGCTCATCACAGGTGGCGGTTGCCCGGTGGCCAGTACAAAGGAAGACGCTGTCAGAAAAGGATACTTCCGAAGCGCACTGTCTGGGGTAGTGTGGCTCCCCTTAGTCTCCCGCACGATATCGGCCACGCGGTGACCGGAGCCCAGCTTGGCGACTGGAATGTCCTGAGCTAAAAACTGCGAAATCAGAAGATTACGAGGAAGGTCGAGCACGCAGCCTAGGAAATCCAGCAGGTTGACGCTCAGTACATGCGGAACGCCCTCGCTCAGCACCGTGGCCTCCACAACCCCCATCACTCCGCCGAGGCACATCGGATACAGGATGGTACAGATCACTTTTGCCTCGCCTCCGATGCCACGCGCCTTCTTGAGCGCCTTGAACTCTCCTGGCACTACTACGTAGCGAAGACCGTGACGAGCCAGCGCCTCGGCCTCTCGGTTCAGTGATGGCAGTCCCACTATGTCGCTGCCGGCCCCTGGGTCCACGAGGCCCTGCGTCGCGGAGGCGTTGAGGTAGACCTCGATGGCCTGCGCCTCCTTCCGGATGTCCTTCAGCTTCTCGAGCTCGCCGTTGTTCATGATCGGGTAGCTGCAGCCGTCGAACGTGTACCCGGCCAGGCCTCGCTTTGACCGATCAGGACCCTTGCCGCTGTCCTCCTTCCGCGGCTGAGGACACCCCCGTGACCAGTGGCCCTTCTCGTTGCAATTCTTGCAGCGGGTGACCTTCATGAGCCTGAGGATTCTCTGACTCGTGGCGCCGGCATCCCTTGGCCTGTCTCCTCGGCCTCGGCCGCGCGCGCGGCCTCGGCCGCCTGCGCCGCCTCGGCCGCCCCCACCACGGCGTCCGTCGTCGTCGCCCCGGCGAGGTCGTGCACCGTAGAACTCGCGGTCCTGCTTCGCCGCGCGCTTCAGGTCCTTGTTCTGCTTCCAGGACCTGCGCTGCACCTTGCCTGTCATCTGCACGAAGGCTTCGGTGGCATCGTCCTCGTCGAGATCCAGATCCTCAATCTCCGCCAAAATGGCCATGAGGTCTGTCTCGGATAGCTCCTCATCTTCGTCTGGATCCTCTCCCGACTCGTCGTAGTACGATTCTTCGTCCTGTCGAGCGGTCCCGGAGCCCGAGACCTGGTAAGCCTGGGAGGACGAGTGAGGAAGAGGGAGAGAGCTGTGGCCTCGCCCGCCCTCGCCGTCTTCTGCGGCCAGGACTGGGTGCGAAGCACTGCTGCCAGGCAGCAGTTTCTCGCCGCTGCCGTAGTCGAGCTGCCTGAGAGCCCAGGCCACGTCCCTGTAGTCCAGGCTGCCCTTGGTGAGGGCGCGCAGGTTATGTTGACCTTGCGCGCTCAGTCCCGCACCCTCCTCGAGCATGAGACCCTTCATCTTATCCGACATCCATGTCGTGGCTCTCGGCGTCGGTCATCTGCTGATCGCGCCTCGCTACGAACTGCGTGAGGCTCTCCTTCTGGCCCTTCGTGCACTCGAACAGTGCCCTGCGACCCGCTCGGCGCATGTCGTCGCCCTCTCGCTGGCCGCTCATGAGGTCCTTTCTCTCGAGGAGAGTGCCCAGCCAGCGGGGCCCGCACAGCACGTTCTCGCTGATGTCCTCGAACTTCGCCTGCATCGTCCAGTCGAACAGCTTCAAGAAGCGCTCCGACCGCCTCCACAGCTGCACGTCAGTGTTGCGGTTCCACCGCTGGATCGCCTTTTTCCACAGGCGGTAATGGCCCCATCCTGGCCAGGTAGGTGGGTCTGAGTAGTCACCTTTTGACCAGCCGCCCTCGTTCCAGTTGTGGTTCCTCCAGCCGCCCTTGTCGTCGTCCTTCCAGTCGAAGTCTCTGACGCCGTCTCGCTTGGTGTCCTGCTGCTGTCGGCCCCCGGGGCCCCACTTGCTCTCGTCAGGCTCCGGCTGTCCACTCTTCCATGGATCGCGGCCGTCGCTCCAGGGATCCTGACCCCTCGAGCTCTCCTGCCGGCCGCTCTTGGTGCCGCCGTAGTCGTCGTCTGCGCCGGCGGCGCTATGGCTGAGCCCTGGGCCGAGGTTCTTCACTGCGTCCTTCACGGCCTGCTGGATCAGCTGCTTCAGCTGCTCCGTGACCTGTGGGCTCGAGCTCGCTGCGCCTCCGACGGGTGGCGGTGGCGCCGTCCCCTCCCCAGCCCCCTCTGATTGGGCTGAGCGCCCTCCGCCAATGACGGCGTACGTCTCGTTCTTCTCGTCTCCTGGGCCAGTGTCATCTGGCCCTGGCATCAATGCCTGCCGTGGATCCGCGCTCTGTCCAGTCCGGTGAGAGCAGCGCCCGCGCAGCCGCCCGAGCTGCCCCCGGCACCACCGCTGATCAGCGGTGCCTGGAGGCGCCCATGCATGCCGCGCCGAACACTGCTCCGCTACCAACTGTGGCAGCAGCAGGATAAGCAGATGCATTTTGGCCTTGAGCCACAATGTGGCAACGACAGTACATCCTTCCCTGAAACACGTACGAACAATCCTGGCCTCCCGTGAGCTGGAATGTTGGGCTTCACGGGAAAGAACATTATGCTAAACCTATATCGATAAAACAAGAGCCTCTCCACAAACAGGACCCGAAGAGGGCCCGAAGAGGCAAATGCACTGTTTTTGCGAAGAGGGCCCGAGGAGGCAAACGCACGGATTCTGCCTCAGTAGCCGAGAGAGTTGGAAAGACTGTGGCACTACCGCCTCTGCGGGTTCCCGACCGCCCAGGACGGGCCAGGAGGCCGCCAAGACCGCCCTAAGTCGGCCCAGGAGGCTCCTAGGACTGCCCGCAGACGGTCCAAGGGGACTCGAGGAGGAGGAGGAGGAGGAGGAGGAGGAGGAGGAGGAGGAGGAGGAGGAGGAGGAGGAGGAGAGGGAGGAGGAGGAGGAGGAGGAGGAAGAAGAGGAGGAGGAGGAGGAGAAGGAGGAGGAGGAGGAGGAGGAGGGAGGAGGGAGGAGGAGGACAACCCAAGAGGCCTCTCCCGAGAGCTGCAGAGGCCCCCAGGAATGCCCCAAGAGAGGAAATCCAAACTCACAGGGCGAGCCTGCCCCGAAAGACGGCGCCATAGAGACCGCCAGCAGGCCTCCAAGAAGCCCCCAGAAAGCCCGCCATAGAGGCCCAAAAAGCTCCCACAAGAGGCCCCCAAGAGGCCCCAGGAGGTCACAAAAATACCGCCTAGAAGTCCCCAAGAGGCCTCCGAAGAGACCCGGGATCGGAAATACTGTTCGAACCAGGCGGGGCGGGTACATGAGCTCCCAGCACATATCCAGGGCCATCCAGGCCTCCAAATCCACTTCCGAACGCCTCAAAGATGCCCCAGGTGCTTCCTAAGACGGCTCCAGAAGAGCTCATACACGGCCAAGGGGCCTCAGACGGTTCCAAGTGGCCACGGAGCCTCCCGAGAACCCCGAGAGGCCCAAACGATTCAAAACATAGAATGGCATCAAATGATGAATGCCTGTTTCGCATGTTCATTTCCGATAGGCTTCGGCGGCCTCAAGATGGCTCCAAGATCGCCCAAGAGAGCCCCAAGAGGGGCCCAGAAGCGCTCCAAGACGGCTGCGAATGCCTCCAAGACCGCCGCAAGTGCATCCCGATGGAGAGCATCCGCTGGCTCTGCTTGCAACATCGCCTTCTGAAAGCAAACGCCGCCGCCCCGAAGTGGAGGGCCTTCCGCAGCCCAAAAACTCAACGAATCCACACTGGAAGCGTAATCACGATGCTTTTCCCTGAGGGTAATTATCTAGATTTGGAGCCTATTTGGAAGGACCGAAAACGCCCGCGCTGCAGCGGGAGCACGTTTTGGAACAACCAGAGGCGCAGAAATGGGGCCATCGTTGCAGCGGGAGCAACATTTTGAAGGACCGAAAAAGAATCGGATTGCCAAAACACACATATGAAAACAAGAAAATGAGGCCGGCGCTGCAACGGGAGCACGATTCGGAACGAACGGAGGCGCGGAAATGAAACCAGCGCTGCAGCGGGAGCACGATTCGGAACGAGCGGAAGGCCGAAAATGAGGCTAACGCTTCAGCGAGAACAACCTTTGGAAAACCAGAAACAACAAAACGAAAACCCAGTTCCCGGGAATCCTGCGTACAAAACAATACGCAGAAGGGGAGCCGAATATCTTCCGGACGTCATCAGGGGAGAGAGGAGAGCAGTAGTCATGTAGTCGATCGTGTACTCTGTAAAGGGGGAGGGGGAGGCAGAGGGGAGGGAGGCCCTGAGATCCTGGCGCCGCACTCCTCCCGTCACACCGGGCGTCTTCGCCAGCGCCCCGGGGCCCCGGGGCCCTCACGGATCGCTCCAGCCCGAGCAGTGCCGCAGCGAGGTGGGGTCTGGGTCTCCTGCCCGCGATCGTCTGCGATGCCGTGGACTCGTTTCGCGGCGCCGGACCTCCGGGGGCGGGAGGGGAGGCGAGGGAGGGGACGACCTCCGGGGGAGAGGGGCCTCCCCCCCGCGAGGAGGGTCGGCCCCAGGGGGGGGAGGGAGGGAGGGGAGGGGAGGCAAGCTAGGTGCGCTCACGTCATATCTGACATCCTACCCCTCCCATCCCATCCTTTACCATGGCGCAGATCCCCTCTCTACTCGCACAGTCGGATGTCAAGCAGGGCGATGATCCCGAAAGGGTACGCGATGCATTGTAGAGCACGGCATGGCATGGCGTAGAAGAGCACCGCGAAGTACGGGAGGGGAGGGGAGGGGAGGCTCTCACGGGGGAGGGGGGACAGATCTCAGAGGGGGGCGGGGGCGGGCGGGCACGAGCACGGCGGAGCTCCCGTGCCGCACTTGCCCTCGGCCGTCATGTTCTCGGTCCCCTTGGCCGCCTTGTCGATGACCACCTGGCGCGCGCGCGCGGGGCCCGGGCCGCACGGGGCCCGGGGGCAGCGGCGGAGCCTCGAGAGGGGAGGACGGGAGCTGCTCGGGACGGCCCCGGGAGCTCCGGGGCCGCTCGCCTCCCTCTCTGTGAGGAGGGAGGAGGGAGGAGGAGGAGGAGGAGGAGGAGGAGGAGGAGGAGGAGGAGGAGGAGGAGGAGGAGGAGGAAGAGGGGAGCGAGGAGGAGGGAGGAGGAGGGGAGGAGGAGGGAGGAGGGGAGGGGGGAGGACAAGTTAGGTGCGCTCGCGTCAACATCTGACATCCTACCTCTCCCTCCCATCCCTTACCATGGCGCTGATTTTCTCTATCCGCGGACGCGTGTCGTAGCGGACCTGTGGCTCCACGCGCGTGTGCGTAGTGGGTGGTGGTGCGCGTGCGTGCGTGCGTGTGTGCGTGGTTGTGGTTGTTGTGGTGGTGGTGTGTATGTGTGTGTGCGTGTGTGCGCGTGTGCTGTGGTGTGACGTGGTGTGGCGTCTTGGTGGTTTGGTGGTGGGCCACGTGCGTACGTGCGTGATGGCGGTGGTGGTTGTGGCGGTGGTGGTGGTGGTGTGTGTGTGTGTGTGTCTGCGTGTGTGCTGTGTGTGCGTGTGCGTGTGTATGTGTATGTGTATGTGTATGTGTATGTGTATGTGTATGTGTATGTGTATGTGTATGTGTATGTGTACGTGTGTGTGTGTGTACGTGTGTACGTGTCTGTGTCTGTGTATGTGTATGTGTATGTGTATGTGTATGTGTATGTGTATGTGTATGTGTATGTGTATGTGTATGTGTATGTGTATGTGTATGTGTATGTGTATGTGTATGTGTATGTGTATGTGTATGTGTATGTGTATGTGTATGTGTGTGTGTGCGTGCGTGCGTGCGTGCGTGCGTGTGTGTCTGTGTGTGCGCGCGTGTGATGTGGTGTGACGCGGTGTAGCGTGGTGGTGGTGGGTGGGGTAGTGCGGTGGTGGTGGCGGTGCGCGGTGGTGGTGCGCGTGCGTGCGTGCGTGCGTGGTGGGTGGAAGTGGCGGTGGGTGTGCGTGCGGCGGGGCGGGGCGTGGTGCGGCGCGGTGGTGGCGGGCGGATGGGCGCGCGAGAAAGAGGCCCGCGCTGGGGCGAGAACGCCATCCTGAACGACGGAGGCAAAACACCGATCCGAAAATGAGGCCCACGCTGCAGCGTGAGCACGATTCGGAACGATTCGGGAGCAGAAATGAGGCCGGCGCCTCAGCGAGAGCAGCATTTTGAAAAAAAACGCAGGCGAAAACCCAACTCCCGGGAATCCTGTGTGTAACAGTACGCGGGGGGGGTCTAATATTTTCAGGCCGCCTCCGGGGGAAGAGGGAGAGTAGTATTCATATTGAGTAATTTGTGGAGCGAGGAGGAGGGAGGAGGAGGAGGAGGAGGGAGGAGGAGGGGAGCGAGGAGGAGGGAGGCCAGAGAACGGAGGATCGATGGAGGAGGGGACGAGGGGAGGATGACACTCCAAGAGAGCCATGTGCCGCCCACGGAGGCCTCCCCGAGCCCTCCCTCCCTGCTCCCTCCTCCTCCTTGCTCTGTCCGTCTACTCCTCCCGCTCCCGCCCCACGGCCCCCCGGAGCCCCGCCCAACCCAGGGAAGCTCCCAGAGACCTCCTTCCTCCTCCCCCCTCTCCCTTCTGCAGTGAGACAATCTGAATGACAATCCCCCTGCTCCCTGGAAGTTGTCCGGGAGATCTCCTGCCCCCTCCGCGTGCTGCTCACACACTGGATCTCAAAAGTCGGTCTGTCCTACGTGTGGTGTTGCACCATCTGGTTGTTCTCGTTGTTTCGACATGGTGCTCCCGCTGCAGCGTGGGCCTCATTTTCGGATTGGCGCTTTGTTCGCGTCGTTCAGAAAGGCGCTCTCGCCGCAGCAAGGGCCACTTTTCTGGATCCGAGTCTTGCTTCAGGGTGGTCCCCCTCCTCGTTTCCCCTCCACCGCCTTCCCCTGGTCCTCCTGTTCCTCCCGCTCCTTCCACTGCAGCTCCTGCTGCTGATGCTGTTCGTATCGCCCCAGCGCGCGGGCAATGTTTCTGGATCCGAAACTTTCTTCATCGTTGTCGCCTCCCTGATCTCCCCTCCTCCGCCTTCCCCTGATCCTCATTATCCTCCCGATCCGTCCGCTTCAATTCCTGCTGCTGCCTTTCGTCCTCGTCCGCTTCCTCCCGCTCATCCTCTGCTCACCCGCCGCCTCCTCCTCATGTGCACGCAGCTCCCGCTTTTCCGATCGCGCACAACACGAAGTGGTCTTTCTGTGGGAGTCGCAGGTCGGCTATGACACGCGTCCGCGGGTAAAGATAAATCCGCGCCATGGGGAGGGATGGAACGGAGGGATCAGAGGTCAGATGAGGCGCCAGGGCACCTAAGTTGCCTCTATCCCCACCTCTCCTCCTGCTGCCCCCCCCCTCCTCCTCCTCGACGGGGACGAGGAGGCCCCCGAGCTGGCCACCTGGATGTTGCCAGGGCAGGAGCCGTCGTTGACCTCTAGGAAGATGGCGGTGGCCTGGTCCCGCATGGTCTTGACCCACCCGCACACGCTCACCTCGGCGGTGGAAGACCAGCTTCCCGCGCCCTCCTCCTGCTTCTCCAAATAGTCATCTCTCCTTCCTCAACCTCCTCCTCCTCCTCCTCCTCCTCCTCCTCCTCCTCCTCCTCCTCCTCCTCCTCCTCCCCATCCTCCTCCCCTATTCCTTTTCCTTATGAATAACTCCTCCCTGTCGCACTCCGAAGCCAGTCGGAGGGGCGGGCCAGGCGGTTCGCCTGAGACTTCTTTACCATTTCAGGGCCTCTGGCCTAAACACTTGCAAACGGCTTCACAGATGGAAGGCGGGTCGCTTCCAGCATCTAGCTCTCGCCTCAGCGCCGCGCTCAGTCGTTTCAACTTTGCAAGACTTTCACGGATTGACGGCGGGTCGTTTTCCAAAATTTGGCTCTCGCCTTAGCGCCGCGCACATTCGTTTTTAACAGTTCCAAAAGCTACACGGGTTGAGGGCTGTTCCTTTTTAAAATTTAACTCTCGCTTCAGCGCCGCGCACATTTGTTTAAAACATCTGCAAGAGGTTCACAGATTGACGGCGGCTCCTTTTCAAAATGTCGTTCTCGCCTTATCGCCCAGCATACTCGTTGTGAAAAATCCAGCTTTTTCACGAATAGAGGGCCGTTCCTTTTGAACTGTTGGCTGTTGCCTTAGCGCCGCGCACCTTCGTCCCAGAGCTCATGGATTGGGGGCAGATCCTCTTCAGTATGTGGCTCTCGCCTTACTGCCGCGCTGTCGTTTCAAAAATTTTCAAAAACTTTACTGGTTCTCCTGGTGAACCCACCAGAAATGGCGTTCTGGAACGATTCCGGACTGTCAGGACGCAACAGCCACGTTGATTCGCGGTGTTGTAGTCCCCGGATTGTTTCTGACAAGACTCAGGACCGTCAAGGCGCAGCAGTCTGGTCGACCCGTTGGGTTAAAGTCATGAGAGTAGTTTCTTGGCACGCTTCAGGATTTTCACACGGTTGTCCCCCAACGGGGCAATTCCCTCAGTGGAAATGAACCCGTGTAGGGGCCTACAACGAGGGAGCTTGGAGGGAGGGTGTATTCCAACATCGTTGATGAGTCCGGGGTCTGTACTGGTTCTGTTCGTCCTCCTCCTCTTACTCCTCCTCCTCATCCTCATCCTCATCCTCATTCTCATCCTCATCCTCATCGTCCTCCTCCTCCTCCTCCTCCTCCTCCTCCTCCTCCTCCTCATCCTCCCTCCTCCTCCTCCTCCTCCTCCTCCACCTCCTCCTCCTCTCCTCCTCCTCCTCCTCCTCCTCCTCCTCCTCCTCCTCCTCCTCCTCCTCCTCCTCCTCCTCCTCCTCCTCCTCCTCCTCTTCCCTCCTCCACTCCCGTTCCTTGTGAATTAACTCCTCCCTGTCGCACCTCGAGGCCAGTCGGAAGGGCGGCCTGGGCGTTTCGCCCGAAACTGCATTACAAATTCATGCACCTCAGGCCTAAAATCTGAAAGAAACAAAAAAAAAAAATGACACAGATGGAGGGCAGGTCGCTTCCAGCCTGTGGCTCTCTCGCAATAGCGGCGCGCACATCAGTTTTTAACTGTGCGAGGGCTTCACGAATTGAGGGCGGGGGGCTTCTTAATGTGGCCCTCGCCTCAGCGCCGCGCACATTCGTTTTTTTGTTTTAAGTTTGCACGCGTTTTACTGTTTGGGAGGCGGGTGGTCGTCAACATGTGGGTTTCGCTTTGGCGCCGCGCACAGCGGCTTCCGAAATCTGCAAAAGCTTCACGGACTGAGGGCGGCTCCTTTTTCAAAACGTGGCTCTCGCATTATTGCCGTGCACAATCGGTGTAACAAGTTGCACGAGCCTACACGGATGCTCATGGTCAATGTACTTCAAAAGGGCGTTGTGGAACGATTCAGGAGTCTGGGCGTAGCGATTACTTTGATTCGCGGTGTTGAAGTCCCATGAGCGGCGTTCTGGTACAATTCAGGATCGTCAAGACGCAGCAGTCTGGTTGATTTGTGGCGCTGAAGTCCTGGGAGCGGCGTTCTGGCACGCTTCGGGATTTTCACACGGCTGTCCCCCAACGGGGCAGTTCCCTATGTTAATGAACCCATGCAGGGGCCTACAACAAGGGAGCTTGGAGGGAGGGTGTATCCCAACATCGTTGATGAGTCTTGGGCGTACATTTGTCTTCTTCCTCCTCCTCCTCCTCCTCCTCATCCTCTTCCTCCTCCTCCTCCTCCTCCTCTTCCCTCCTCCATTCCTTTTTCTTATGAATAACTCCTCCCTGTCGCACCTCGAAGCCAGTCGGAAGGGCGGACCGGGCGTTTCGCCTGAAACTTCAATACCATGTATGAGCCTCAAGCTTAAAAACTGCCAATCGCTTCACCAATGGAGGGCGGGTGGTACTCAAAAGGTGGCCCTCGCCTCAGCGCCGCGCACATTCGTGTTTTGAAGTTTGCATGAGTTTCGCAGATTGATGGCGTGTCGTTCTCAAAATGTTGATCTCGCCATCGCGCCACGCACACTCGTTTCAAACACCTAAAAAGAGCTCCACGGATTGTGAGCGGGGGGGGGGTCCAAAAGCAACTCTCGCCGTAGCGACGTGCACCTTCGTTTGGACAGATTCCAGCAGCAAGAGCTCCACGGATTGAGGGCGGCTCATTTTCAAAACGTGGCTCTCGCCTTATTGCCGTGCACATTCGCTGTAACAAGGTGCACGAGTTTCACAGAGCCTCATAGTCGACATACCAGAATTGGCGTCTTGGAGCGATTCAGGACTGTCAGGGCGCAACAGCTACGTTGATTCACGGTGCTGACGTCCCTAGAATGGCGTTCTGGCACGGTTCACAATCGCCGAGACGCAACAGTCAGGTTAACTCGTGGCGTTGACGTCCTGAGAACGGTGTTCTGGCACGCTCCATGATTTTCTCACACGTTGTCCCCCCCAAACGGGGCAATTCCCTCAGTGGAACTGAACCCTTGCAGAGGCATATGAAGAGGGAGCTTGAAGGGAGGGCGTATCCCAACACCGTTGATGAGTCTTGCATTTACACTCGTCCCCCTCCTCCCCCTGCTCCTCCTCTTCTTCCTCCTCCTCCTCCTCCTCCTCCTCCTCCTCCTCCTCCTCCTCCTCCCCCTCCTCCTTCACAGCTCCTGCTCAGTTTCACCCCCTTCTTCTCCCCCGCCTGCATCACACTCCTTTTTCCACCTCACCTCCTCCCCCCGCTCCTCCCCCGCTCCTCCCTCTCCTCCGCAGCATATGAAATCCATTGGGTACAATAGGGGCTCGACAACAAAAAACCTTCCGCGAGAAACAGCCCTGAGACCCCAGGACGTCCATTGGCCTTTGGCTTGGGAACGGCGCGCCTTCCATCGCCAAACCATCGAAACCCACGAGACCCAGGGCACCCTGGAGTCAAGCAGGGTGCTTCTTGGCATGGGCCTCCACTGTAGTGGCTGGGTGGTGGGGGGAGGGAGGAGACCTCGAAAGGCGCGCGCGCGAAGACGGCGAGGGCGCCCGCGCCGCGCGTGAAGATCTCTTCGTGGTCTGAGCGTGCCTCCCCCCCGTCGCCACCCCCCGCGGCCGCTCGGGACCCTCCTGGGGCCGCCTCCTGGAGGGTTCCAAAGAGGGTTTTTGAGGGGAGGGGGGGTTCCAGAGAGCCCCCCAGGGGCCTTGGAACCTCGTCAGAACAGGGGGTGCGAAGCCCCTGGGGGACCCCTCCTGGAAAGCCCCCTCCCCCAAAAACACCCTTTGGAACCCTCTGGGCCTGGGCCGCTCCTGGAACCGCCCCCCCCAGCTTGCGACCCTCTGGCTCACTGCCTCCTGCTGGGTGGCCCGCGCCGCCCAACTGCGCGACGGGCTTCCGGGCTCGCCTCTCCGCCCCTCCCGCGAGGCCCTAGACACCTGTTCGGCGGCAGTTCGTGGGAGCCTCCCGTGCCGTCTCGTCGGCTCCTGCGAGCCGACGCTGCATCGGTGCTGAATCGACGCCAAGTCGACGCTAGATCGGCGCGATCTCACCAACTCCCAGACGCTTGTCGGCGCCAATCGGCGCTGAAGACAGAATTGCGAGGGAACACGAGGCTCCCACGATTCGCTGGCGGACTCCCCCCCGTCGCCACCCTCCGCGGCCCCCCGCCTGCTCTTCCTGCTGCGCGCGCGGGCTATATGATGGCCCGCGCCCCGCTCTGCTACGACCGCACTGTGCCCCACGCGGCCGCGACAGAGAAAGCGGGCGACGAGGAAGATGAGGAGGACCCCGCCCACCCCGAGCCTCGGTGCCGATCAGCGACTTCCCGCCGTCCGGCGCGTTCAGAATCCTGGCAACGTGCGTCCGCCCGCCTGGCGTTCAGGGGCAGCAGAAGCTCCAGACCCGTGATTGCCCTGTTCAAGGTCGTCCACGGCGGCAGTACAACCGAAAACCGAACGAACCGACAACGAAAGCGAAACCGGCCGAAATCGACAGGGAGAGGGAGACAAGCAGCCTAGAAGGGCGCAGCGACGCGACAACAACACAAGAACCGACAAAACCTAACCGGCTGAACGCACTCGAAGGCGACGCGGTTGAACAGACCGAACCGCGGACAACCTTGTCCTCCCTGTCCCTCATCATTACATTCCCCCCCTCCACCTATTCATCTCTCCCCTCTCGCCACTACCCGTTGCATCCCTTTTTTTGTAAACGAATCCTCAAAATTGCACCAACCAGCGTGTCGGCAGGGCGACATTTATGAGCTTGCTGCTTGCTTGCACGATCCAGACGCTACACCGATGGAGGGCGGACCCTTCCTCAAATGAGGCGCCCGCGTCAGCGCTGAACACATTCGTTTATTAAGACATCCAACAATTACATTGGTGAACAGTGGTCCTTTTTGAAAACGTGGCTCTCGGCTCAACGCAACGCACAGTCGCGGCAAAAGCTCCAAAGTTTCCAGTAGATACTATAGGATGTAGGGCGATGCGCCTTCAAAGCGAGACCTTCGCCCTAACGCTGCCACATCGTCTTAGGAGCTTCCAGCTGCCACACGGATGCAGTGTTGCTCGTTTTCAGAATGAGTTTGCCGCGCTCGCGCTGCGTTGGTTTCGTCTGAACAATTGCCCACGCCTACACGGGTGGATGGCGGCTCATTCCTCCCCAACAATATACACACACACTTTTGCGTCAGCGGCTGGGCAGAGGAACTGGTCCAACGCAATGGCATTAGTGGGTCACACAAAACGCGAATTAAGCCGCAGGGCACGGGAGGAAGAGAAAGAAAGCCCGGCGCGGGCGGGAGGGAGAGGAAGCCAGGCCCGCTCAGAGCAGGGCCAGGCGGCGGCGGGGCAGGCGCCAGGGCGGGGAGCCAGCGGCGGCGGCGAGGCAGCAGCTGGGGGACGGCAGCCGAAAAAAATACACACACACACACACACACACACACACACACACACGCACACACAAATACACAATCTAACTATAACCAAAAAAACTGTGGCCCAGCGTTGTGCACATCCACTTCCACCAAAACCCCCATCGGCCGCGCGGACGGAGGCCGGCACCTGTTCAAAAAGTGGCTCTCGCTGAGGGTCCCTTCATATTGTCAAAACCACAAACTTGAACAGGCGCAAAGCCATATCTTGTGTAACAGAAAAACTCTCGCTGAGGATCCCGTGATTGTGTCAAAACCATATATTCGAACAGGCGCATCCGTTAGAAGGACGGAGGACCGTTCCCTGCAAAGCGGGTCTCCCGCTCGAAGTGCCGCAAACCTCACGACCAGCAGGTTTGCACATGTGTCACGGCTGCACGGATGGATTTTTCTCGGCAAACAATGTTTGGCGCACCCTTTTATAATCGAAGTCTCCGCCACCCTGCGCGGGGCCATGAGTGGTAGCGACAGATGGAGGGCGTTTGTAACGGCTGCACGGATGGAGGGCGTTTTGTCCCGCGGGCCAACTCTTGCACCAGGACTTCCTCCTTGCGTTCTACGGCAGGTTCGTGTCGTACCAACCCCAGCGTTGGTTTTTGACACCGCAGGGATCGTTCAACCTTGAACGATCGGCCGCTGCCGCAACGTCCGATCGCTCAACATCGATCGATTCTGGGTCGCCGGCGGCGTTCAACCTTGAACGCCCGCGCTGGGGTCGCCGCTGGTCGACACGACGCAAACCTACCGTAAATGATTGGATGCCTATCTGGGGTTCTCCTGCTTCTGCCGAGGTGTCTCACCCTGGGAGCGCCCTGAGAGCGCCCGAAGCGCACCCCAGGAGCACCCCGGGAGCACCCTGGGAGCGCTCTGGGAGCGCCCTGGAGCGCTTGGGGAGCGGCTGGGAGACCCCTGAGATTAAGTCGGGCCTGTCCCCCTACAGGGGGATTTTCGACGAACAAGAAAAAATCCCCCAGAAATACCCCAAAGATGATCCAACAATAGTCTGGGGACTATTTTTTTAGCACTTGTTGACCTTCTTGGGGTATTTTTCGTTAAAGGCTTAACGACTTCTGCCGTCCTTCGACTCGCGCTGGAGCGGCCGCGAAGTGCTCGAACTTTCCCTGGAGATCTCTGGATTTACCTGGATTTACCCAGATTTATCTAGATTTACCTGGATTTACCTCGATTTATCTGCATTTACCTGGGTTTATCTGGCTCGATTCTCACAAGTCGATTGGCGAAAAGTCGACAAGCCCTAAGGGAATTTTGTGATGGGCCTATTTTCCACCACCACTACCATATGTAGGAGAGGTAGGAGGAGGAGGAGGAGGAAGAGGAGGAGGAAGAGGAGGACGAGGAGGAGGAGGAGGAGGACCTCCTCATCCTGCCTTCCCCCCCGCCCTACATATGGTAGTGGTGGTGGAAAATTTGCCCATCATTTTGGGGGGTATTTCTTATTCTTCGTCGAAGATCCCCCTGTATGGGGACACGCCCGACACAACCCTGAGAGCTCTCGGGCGCCCCGGGCGCGCCCCGGGAGCGCCCCGGGAGCGCCCCGGGAACCGGGCCTGCCGGACTCTCGCCCGGGTGGGGCGGCCGTGGGCGCCTGGAGCTGCTTCTGCACCACACCGCGAGCAGAGCATCGCTTTACGCCCGCACGCCTGCACACACCGCTCGCACACCGCACGGCCTGCACCACATGGCTTGCACCACGTGGCTGACTACCTACCAGACCACCCCAACCCAACCCGAAGACCCGAATTTGACCCGAATTTCGGGTTGGGGGGGGTACGGGTTCCATGTGTTTTTTCAACGTTCCCCGACCCCCCCCCACTGGAAATGAAGGGCAAATCGAAGCCTTCGGGTTGGGTTGGGGTGGTCTGGTAGGTGGTGAGTGGCTCTCACCACGCAGGTGGCACCGCCCATCCTGCAGCGCACACCACCGCTGACACGGCACTGCTGGCACCACCTCGCGCAGCCGGCAAGACCCACGGCTTGCAGCAAGCCGGGCTTGCCCCACCCAGCTTGCTCCACACGGCTTGCGCCACCATGGCTTGCACGCCCAGGGTGCAGAAGCTCGCTGACTGAGCCTACGCTGGCACCCAATTGTGTCAAAACGGCCTCCGCCTCCTCCTCCTCCTCCTCCTCCTCCTCCTCCTCCTCCTCCTCCTCCTCCCCTCCTCCTCCTCCTCCTCCTCCCCCCCTCCCCTCCTCCTCCCCCCCTCCTCCTCCTCCTCCTCCTCCTCCTCCTCCTCCTCCTCCTCCTCCGCCTCCTCCTCCTCCTCCCTGTCGCATCCCGAGGCCAACTTTTGGGGCGGGCCGGGCGCTTCGCCTGAGACTTACTCACCACTTATGACTCTGAAGCTTCAAAAGTGGCAACAGCTTCACAGATGGAGGGCAGGTGGTTTTCAAAAGGTTTTGAAAATTTGCAACAGCTTCACGGATTGAGGGCGGGTGGTGTTCAAAATGTGGCTCTCGCCTTAGCGCCGCGCACACTGGTTTTAAAAACTTGCCATAGCTTCACGGATTGAGGGCGGGTGATTTTCAAAATGTGGCTCTCGCCTTAGCGCCGCGCACATACGTTCCAAAAATTTGCAAGGGTTTCACGGATTGAGAGCGGTTCATTTTGAAAACTTGGCTCTCGCATTAACGCCGCGCACATTCGTTTACAAATTGCAAGAGTTTTACGGATGGAGGGCGAGGATATTCACAATGTGGCTTTCGCCTTAGCGCCGCGCACATTCGTTTTAAACATTTGCAAGAACTTCACGGATTGAGGGCGGGTGGTCTTCAAAATGTGGCTCTCACCTTAGCGCCGCGCACATACGTTTCAAATATTTGCAAGAGTTTCACAGCGGTTCTTTTTGAAAATGTGGCTCTCGCCTTAGCGCAGCGCACATTCGGTTTTCAAATTTGGAAGAGATTCACGGGCTCCCATGATCAACGTACCAGAAATTGTGACTTGGATGCAGCCAGGATCATGCGGGTGCAACAGTCATGTTGAATCGTGCTGCTGAAGTCCCAAAGGCGTTCAGGCACGATTCCGGATCGTCAAGACGCAGCAGTCAGGTTGATCTGTGGCGTTGAAATCCCGAGCACAATGATTTGGCATGCTTCAGGGTCTTCAAACGGTTACCTTCCAACGAGGCAGTTCCCTCAATGGAAATGAACCGCTGTATGGAGCCTATGAAGAGGGACCTTGGAGGGGGGTAATTCCAACATCGTTGATGACTCTTGAGTTTACACTGGTCCTCCTCCTCCTCATCATCCGCCTCCTCCTCCTGCTCCCCCTCCAACTCCTCCTTATCCCCCTCCTCCTCCTCATCCTCCTCCCCCGCCTCCTCCTCCTCTTCCTCCTCCTGGAAATGAACTGCACTGCCTTATCGCGCCTCTTCGAGCTGGAAGGGTGGCGGCTCCTTTTCCAGACGATGCTCTCGCACACCCAATGGCTGGCTCACTCCAAGGCCGCACTGACGGCATGCTTGCCTAACGGTGCGGTTGGGAATCTTGCTTTTTTGTGACACCGAGCTCACGCAAAACAAAATGTAGGAAATCACGAAACATCGTCTCCTAGATTTCACATGTGCGAATGTGTCGAACGAAACCGACACAACGAGCTGTAGAAAAACACGGACCACGCAGTCCTACAATTGGATTGGCCACGAACCACGCCTTCCTACAATTGGCTGTCCTACTTCGCCGTTAGCCAACACACCGTTCGCGCGTCTACGGTCACTGGGCGCTTGTCCTTCCACGGGGCGCCTCTGGCAGCGAAATGGAGCGGCTGCTGGGACGCGGAGGAGGAGAAGGAGGAAGGAGGAGGAGGGAGGAAGGAGGAAGGAGGAGGAGGAGGAGGTGGAGGAGGGAGGAGGGAGAAGGAGGAGGAGGAGGAGGGAGGGGGAGGAGGAGGAGAAGGAGGAGCAGCAGGAGGACGGAG